TCGAGATAGCCAATTTATGGCTAAATTTTGGTAGAGTTTGCAAAAGGTATTGGGGACAAAGTTACACTTCAGCATATCTTTCCATCCTTAGAAAGATGGTCAATTAAAAAGAGTGATTCAAATTGTGGAAGTTATATTGAGGGCTTGTGTGCTAGACTTAAAGGGCAGTTGGAGTGATCATTTACCGTTGGTGGAGTTTGCCTACAGTAATAGCTATCAGGCTAACATTGGGATGCCACCTTCTGAGGCATTGTGTAGGAAACCATGTAGATCATCGACGTGTGGAAGAAAAATCGGGAAGAATAGTTTATTTAGGTCGAAATAGTAAGGGAAACCACTAAGAAGGTCCAACTAATTTGAGAGAGGTCGTATACAGCCAAAAGCCGACAAAAGAGTTATGTAGATAGAAGAAGAAGCTCGTTGGAATTCAATTGAGGTGATTATGTGTACTTGAAATTATCACCTAAGAAGAGAGTAATGCGCTTTGGAAAGCAAAGATTAGCTCCGAGGTACATGAGACCTTTTAAAATAATTAAGGTGGTAGGAAAGACGGTGTGTTTCATGTGTCAATGTTCTGGAAATGTGAACCTAATACATCGCATGTTGTGGATTTGGAAGGGATTGAAATTCAGGAAGGAACAACTTACGAGGAGTAGCTGGTAAGGATTCTAGATAACAAAGAGAAAGTGTTTTGCAATAAGGTTATCTTACTAATGAAAGTATTTTGGTAACACCATTGAGTGGATGAAGGTACATGGGATTTAGAGATGGAGATGCGAGTAAGTATCCACATTCATTCATAATTTGAGCTAAATTTCAAGGACAAAACTTTCTTTTAGGGGGATGAATTATAAAACCCCCTAAATTCATAATAATGCATATTATTTACCATGTGTTGAATGAACATAAGGTGGCGTAGGAATAAGAACATAGGAGTACTAGAAGTGTTTTTGCTTGTTGGGAAACATATTTAGGTTATAGCATGTAGAGGATAACAAGATGCTGCCTTAGTGTTTTATTCATAACTTTTTATTTTGAACTTGGATTGATCTGGATTTTTGATAGTAGAAACTAGATACCAAGAGCTACAAAAATGTATATTACAAAGATTTCATGAATCAACATCTAAGTATTTCAAAACTAAATTGAAAATTGAAGTAGGAAATTGAGTTCACGTTCGAATGCCAGTTAGTCACAATACTTGAGTGTTTGATAGGAAGTCTGACAGAGATCGAGGTACTAGGAGCTCGAGACGTTGGAATGCCAAGTCACGTTTGAAGATTTTGTTCGAACACCAGTGTAGTTTTTACAACCAAACTCGCGATTCCTTTTTAGGTGCTAACCCTATAAATACATAAGGATGCCTCCTTAGCCATATTTTATCAATTTAAAACCCTAGAAAACCCTATAGTGAGAGAGAGAAAGAGGAAACACATGGATTTGGAGGGATTTTCACATAGGAGACTAATCAATGCGTAGGGTTTCCACCAAACTACAGATTATAGGTAGGGTTTCATTCTCAAATTCAATATTGAGGCTAAGATTATTATGTATATGCTTTCAATCCATGTTTATATGTTAGATAAGTTGTTCTTGGAGATTATTTTCAATTACATGAATTGTTTCTTGATTATAAACGATTTCTATTCAAGATTCATCAACTTCTTATCAAAAACCCCAATTTGAATTATAACCAAACTTATTTATGTTTTATATCAAAGTTTACTTGTTCTTGATTTCTAAAATCCTAGACTTTTGTTATGAGCAATAAAAATATCTTTTTGGAAGATCTCTTGTGTGCTTTACTGAATTATTCTTTTTAAAAGGTTAGAAAGTTGGGTTTTATGGAAACATTGTGAAAAGTATCCCTTGTATGGTGGGTGTGATTAATGTGGGTTGCAATCGATCGAGTTTCATATAGGAGTTAGATGAGTTTTTTAACTTAAGGGGGTTTGAAGTTTCCCTAGCAGTTGTAGTGAGGCTGGTGTCTTGCGAGGACCAAACTATTATTCATTTGTGATGATCGAGGCATAGAGTTAGTATACTATTATTGGAAAGTTATGTCAATGTTGATGCGTCAGTATATGCGTTTTTTGAAAATGTGTCATCCTTGCGAGGATTATATTGTTGAATGAGTGTGTGTGTGTGTGTGTGTGTGTGGGCCAACGTATTCTCGATGTGTGGATTTATGTTAGCCAACCTGCAGATATACATAAGATATATGTTGATTGTGTTAAGTTATGCTGTTGAAAGATGATATTGTTTACTCATGAATTATTATTGTGTTATTGTAAACTTGAGATCTTGTTATTGCTACTATTTTACTTCAAAATTATGTATATTATCTTATTAAACGAGACTTACATGTGTTTATGTCGTCTGATGGAGAGATAGAGAATTTGAGAATAGGGGCGCCAGAGGCTAAAAAAAGGTTGGGTAGTGAGAATAAGATAGACATTGGAATCGTGGATTGTGGATTGAGAGAGAAACTAAGAATCATGGGCTGTGGGTTATGAGAGATCAAAAAAATTTTGGTAGAAAATTAAATTTAGAGAGCAAATATTAATTATGAATATTTACTAATTAATCTAGGACATTCAAAAATCCCTTATATTTTACTCCTTCCGTTCTTAAATATTTGTCGTTTAAAGTTTTTGCACAGAGATTAAGAAAGCTATTAAATAACTCTAATATAAGTAAAAAATAATTACAAAAGACTAAAATACTCTTATTCAATACGTATTGGGAAGGAAAAGAATATGAAAAACACTTAACCTCCACCTAATCTAATGCATTGAAAAATTAAGAGTAAATTTGGAAGAAAAAATATTAATTATGTTTTAGTTTCATTAAACGATAGATATTATGGAACAAAAAAATTTATATAAAACGACATATATTTAGGAATGAAGAGACTATTATATAGACTTTTCAAAAATTAGAATAGCTAATTTTTTATTATAATAGTCTTGGACGAATTATATAAATGTGTGCTCATGTGGTAGGGGTTGACTTGTGAGTGTTATGTGAAAAAAAAAAAAAACTTAAGACCCTATTTAAGAGAAGATTAGGATACCAAAAAAAAAAATTGATCTTGTATCACTAGTACAAATATTATGATTTTTTTTTATAATATTTTGGGGGTCATTTCCAAATTTTTGAGATCATTAATAATTTTGGATTATTTATGCCTTTTAGGGTCATTTACAACTTTTAGGATTGAACCCCCACAACCCCTAAAAGTGTAAATGACCCTCTAAAAATTATAATTTGAACCATTAAAGTTATAAAATGAGTCAAAAAGTTATAATTTTTTTTTGTTACAAATAAACTAAAAATCTTTTAAAATTTAGTTGTACAATATTGATTTTTTTTTTCCAGTCTTCTTTCCTCTATTAGAATTTTTTATTAAAATTTTTACACGAAATAAATATGAACTATTAGATTAGTAAGTCCCACCATCCAATTACTAATAATGTGCCACGTCATTTGAGATATGAAATTTAGTAAATTTTTTACTGTTTTTCGTTAAATAATATTTAGGCCACAATAAAATAAATAACAAACCAATCAAACGAAAGTAAGAATAAAGCAAAGCCGGACCATACCAAGAGTAGGGACAGTGCATTCATTCCCACCCATTTCATTGATTCCATTTGGGTAAGCTGTTCAAGCACATGAAAACAGGCATCAAACCAAATGATTCCCAACACTTGTTTCTGTCTCAACTTTCTCTTTTCCATACTTGTGCAAAGTTGTGTGTGTGATAACGCCTCCTTTGACTTTGTTCAATGTAAATGCTTAGTACCAATGAATGAGTCATAAAGAAATCTAAATGCTGATTTTCTTGTATAAATCTATCTTTGAAGTTAAAAAAAGCATTATATCAAGGATACCACTAAGACTGAGTTCCAAAAGAACAAAAAAAAAGAAGAAGAAAAAAACCACTGGCATCAAACCATCAAACTTCAATCAAAGTCAGTCATATAACTCTAAATTTATTTGAGCATCACTAGGTATTAACGACATCCATGAATTTAGTGATCGGTTGTTAAATTGGCAAAAAATAATTTTAAAATAATGTGATATCTCATAGTTAAAGACGCAATTGAATATTATTTTTGATACCCGATATCTCACCATTAAAGACGCAATTATATATTTTTGGAAGACTACCTCAATGCAATGGATGACACCAGTAATTCATTACAACTTACAAGTCTAGGTAGAATTTTTTTCCCCATTCGTCACACGCTTGACAACTATATCAACTTTAACCAAAAGACAAAAATATGGGTACTTATTTACAAAATAACAAAAACTTCAGGGGCACTTGTGCAAATATATTTTACCCAGTAAAAAAAAAGAGAGGATAAATTATAATTTATACTCTTAAAGTATGCACCTAATTTATATTTGATATTTGAAGTTTCGATTATAACAATCAAGCCCTTAAAGTTTTAATTAAGTTTCGATTTCATCCTTACATCAAAATTCACTAATTTATTATGACAGAATATTTTTTTGTGATTAACACATGATTTGGGTAAAGACGTATACTTGTCTGATGAAAAATATGTTACAAATATGTTACAAAATCTTACTTTATTTCATTTGATTTTTAGAATAACAAACCCGAAAAAATATATAAAGTAAAAAAGTAAGAGATATTGTGTGATAAAGATAGAAATATCAATATTGGGATAAATATTTTTTATTGGACAGATATACTCTTATGAGTAAGTCTTATGACATCTTTGTTTGAGAATAAATTAATAAATTTAAATAGAAATATTAGATTGAAATTTGTTTAAAATTTTAAGGATATAATTGTATTAATTAAAACTTCAAAAACTAAATAAAAATTATGTGGATACTTTAAAGATATAAATTATAAATTACCCAAAAAAAAAAAAAGAGACGTTAGTTCTTAGGTATATTCGGCCACTCTTTGTTTTTGGACCCTGCGTAACCAAAACCGGTATATTCGGCCAATGTATATATCATATACACAGACTCCCCATTCACCTCCAATCTCTCCTTCAATCTGAAACAGATTTTGAACTTCTTTCTCATCAGATAACTGTTTATCCTTTCAACTCAAATTCAAAACACAAACTCGCACAGAATTCCTCTATATACACATAAAATTAGACTGACCCTTTGTTTTAGTGTTGTTTGGGATTGAATTTTAATACCCATACAGAGAATGGTTGTGAAGATGATGAAGTGGAGGCCATGGCCTCCACTGTCATCCAAGAAATTCGAGACGAAGATCATCATTCGCAACATCAAAGAACTACGCATATCAGAACAGGGTGTGGCTGAGAAACCAATCACTCTCGACGATTTTGCAAGATTGTCTGTTGAGATAAAGTGGAAAGGCTCAAAGGGCAATGGTTTGAGCTCTTTGAGAAGAAGTGTGAAGAGGAATTTCACGAAGGAAGAGGCTTTGGGGGATAACGGAGTTGTTGAATGGAACGATGAGTTTCATAATATTTGCAGCTTTGCGGTATATAAAGAGGGTGTATTCCATCCTTGGGAGGTTGCGCTTACTTTATTCAATGTGAGTCCTCAACTGGTTTTGTTTCTGGTTCTTGATTTTGTTTATTTATTTCTTTATCTATTTCTTGTTTTGACTTGTGCTGCTGCTTGTTTCTGGGGTTTGTAGATAATTTTTTTTTGGGTGTGTTTCACTTTCGGGAGTCTTCAATTTATCAGTTTTGAAACGTGTTTTGTTTTGGTTTTTGATTTGATGAGGTAATTGCTGAATTTTGGCGTAGATAGATGATGTTGGTTCCTCTTAATTGCCCTTGGCCTGATTTTTCTGTAATCACTTGTTGTTTGGTCATTGAGAAAGTGTAGAAATCCGGTACTCAGGAAACAATTTCTTCGCTATGGTCAGCTTTTTGATGTGTATTCCTAATTTTTTTGAAGCTTATAAATTCTAAAGATGAGGTTGAAAATTTTATCTCAAATTTTCTCTGCAACCATACGAGGGGTAATTGACTTCTAGATGGGAAATTGATAATATGTTTTCGCCATTGACTTGTGTGTATTCCCATTCAGGTTGGTTTGAAGAATTGATAGTATTTGTTTGGGGAATTTTCGGGGGTGTTCTATTAGTTTTCATTATCATTGTGGTAAATTTTCCAGTTTTATGCTATATGGTCTGCAGTTTGGGTCTCTTGGGATGTAGAGATTCTATATATTTTTTTCAGTTCAATTTTTATTTTTTGTGTGGTCTGATTGTGTCTATTATGTGGAGGTTGATAACATATCAACAAGTCACTGTTTGGCAGATTTGTCATCAGGATTTTCTCAGTTTGTGGTAAAAAATTGAGACATCTGTGGAGAAAGTTATCCTGTTTAAGCATCATTTTTCTTGGCAGATATATCATGGTAAACCCTGAGGAAGATTTCAGCACCCAAGATATTTTCATAGGAGATGAAAAAGATGTTCTTAAGAAAATAAATTTAGATTTAAGATTTCTGCCTACTAGAGTTTCTTCTTCCAGTCCTTAAGATCATTTTTACATTTTTTGCAAGGTTATATCATGTCAAACTTTCACATTAGGCTTGTTATTAGTATGATACTGTTACATGCTTACGAGTTTCTCATGTCTGCTTTTCTGTTTTTAGGTTTTTGGAATATTCTGGTTTCGGTCATGGAATCATCTGGTCCTACCAATTCTGGGGCTTCTGGTGTTTATTTTACCTATGATAACCTTAAACCATTGTCGCCCTCCACATGTTTGTCTATATTTGAAAGAAATTACTGATAGTTTTGTTAAGCTTTGCTCCATTATTGGGTCAATTTCTTTAATCAAGACTGTTATGGTATATACCTTCTCTGTAGTGAGTGCTTCCCCTAATAATAGGGAAAGTGACTTACAGAGCATATAGAATCAAAACTGCTTGGACTACACAGTTGTTTGATTGCTTTAAAGCCTATATCTTGTATTGCATATACCACCATTCGCCATCTAATACGCATCAGTTGCTATAAAAAAATAATTCTAGAGTTTCCTTTATTGACTACCAAAATAAAAGGTTTTCTTCATGGTCATAAAACTAAAAAATATAATGTTAGTGTTACCATGTATTTGTCTTTTTCTCTCTAAAGATGGGTAATAATAAGATTGTGTTACCCATGGTAGGGTACCCTAAATGTAAAATTCTCAGGAATTTTATCGGCAGTCCTGTTTTGTACTTTATGTTTAAACCATTACTCAAGTGTCTGATTTTTTGTTTAACTAACTGAGTTTAATGATTTTGTGTACTTGATTACGTGAATAGATGAATATGACACTCGCTCATTTTGCTATGATTCAGGGCTTCAACCAAGCTCAAAAAGACAAGGTCCCCGTTGTTGCAACTGCATTGCTGAATCTTGCTGAATTTGCTTCTGCAGCTGAGGAACAAGAGATAGAAATCAACATTCCTCTTACAATTGTTAATGAAAGCATTGAATCCAGCCCTTCACTTTGTGTATGCACCTTTCAGACAATTTCCAGTTTTCCTTGCTTGTATTTTGTTGTCCCCACCCATCTATTTCATTTCAATGTCGCGCAGATAGTCCATCTTTTCATTTTTTTTATATTTCTTCTAGATACTGAATCCATCTATATGATGCAGCTATTTTTCAGCCTCTCGGAATTGAGAACTTCCCAGGAATCTTCAGGAAGAGTTCAGAGATCAGTTGTTCCTATTCAACTGTCACCCCCTTCTGGAGAAGTTTTATCCAGAGACAAAGATGAGCTCTCCATTCTTAAAGCGAGTCTGAGGAAAGTTAAAATCTTCAGAGGAATTTCATCTCGAGGGGCTAAGAAGGCATGTCGTGAAGAGGAGGGCAGTGATGGAAGGAGTTCGGTCAGAAGTAAAGATGTTGACTACAATTACCCATTTGACACTGACTCGCTTGATGATCTGGATGAAGGGGAATCAGAAGAAGGAAAACATGAATCCAGTACTAAGATGTCAGTCAGTTATGGAACGTTGGCCCATGCAAACCATGCTGGAGGATCAACATACTCAAATACGAGCAGTAGTGAAGATGAGGATTGGTTCTATTATAGCAATTGCAAATCAGATGCAGGGGTTTTGAATATTGAGGATTCAAGTGCATCAATGCATGATCAGTCCGCAAGGCAGAGTTCAAAGCGCAGAATCCTCTCATGGAGAAAGAGGAAATTTGGCTTCAGATCTCCTAAAGCGAAAGGAGAGCCACTATTGAAAAAAGATTATGCTGAAGAAGGTGGAGACGATATTGATTTTGATCGTCGACAGCTTAGCTTCTCTGATGAGTCCACTTTTGGGGTACGCTTCTTTTTCTTTCCATAGATCAGTTTCATAGGTGTTTTTTTATATATAATATCATTTGTCTAGTTGAGCTGCTTACTTGCACATTACAGCATGGACAAGTAAAAAAACTCCCTTCTTGGACTCTTTAACTGAGTTTGGCAGCATCTGAAAACTAGCTAGTATGGCCTATTGTTTAGTGAATTTGACACTACCTCATCTTATGCAATTCTCAATTTGACATGCTAGCGACTTGAATGAGGAACAGTGAAGTAGTTTATTACACATTTTATGTTATCGCCTTCGCATATGCAGTGGTTTTAGTTACTCAAAATCCTTTTCATTTCATTTTTCTTTTCTATTTATTTGTCTTTCTCTTTTGATGAAATAACTCTGTGGAGTTCTGAAAAATGTCTAACAATCTTGCAGCGGTGCAAAACTGACGAAGCTTCAATTACAAATAGATCATCAGTATCCGAGTTTGGGGATGATAGTTTTGCTGTGGGTAGCTGGGAGCAAAAGGAGGTCATAAGCCGTGATGGACATATGAAGCTGCAAGCCCAAGTCTTCTTTGCTTCTATCGATCAAAGGAGTGAAAGAGCTGCAGGTGAGAGTGCATGCACAGCCCTGGTTGCTGTCATCGCCGACTGGTTCCAATCCAACTGCGATGAAAGGCCTATCAAGTCTCAACTTGATAGCCTGATCCGAGAGGGTTCACTAGAGTGGAGGAACCTCTGTGAAAATGATGCCTACAGAGAGCGGTTCCCTGATAAGCACTTTGACCTTGATACTGTCCTTCAGGCTAAAATCCGTCCTCTGGTTGTAGTTCCAGAGAAGTCCTTTGTCGGGTTTTTCCATCCAGAAGGGCTTGAAGAGGTGGCTTTTGACTTCCTCCAGGGAGCCATGTCCTTCGACAGCATCTGGGATGAGATCAGTCAAATCAGCTCGGAAAGCTGTAGTAATGGTGAACCTTTAGTCTACATTGTAAGCTGGAACGACCACTTTTTTGTTCTGAAGGTTGAAAGGGATGCATACTATATTATTGATACATTAGGGGAGCGACTTTATGAGGGCTGCAACCAGGCATATATCCTGAAATTTGACAAAGATACAACAATCCAGCGACTACCTAATGAAACTCAATCATCAGATGAAAGGCTTGCCAGTGATGTGATCCAATCAAGTGACCGAAAGGAGTCATCAAGTGAAGGAACTGTGATCATCAAAAGTAACGAGTCGGGAAATGGTGAGGGAGAAGATTCAGTTGTGTGCAGAGGCAGAGAGTCATGCAAGGAGTACATTAAGAGATTTTTGGCTGCAATCCCAGTAAGGGAGTTGCAGGTTGATCTCAAGAAGGGGCTAATGGCGTCAGCACTTCTTCATCACCGGCTACAAATTGAATTCCACTACACCCAGTGCTTGCAGCCTCTGGTTGGGTTTTCTTCATTGAACGCAATACCTGATACACTGGAAATATCAGAATTGCCAGTGGCTGAGTTTTGTTCATCAAAAGCAATTGCTGATACACTGGCAAAATCAGCATTGCCTGTGGGTGAGTGTTCTTCATCAACAGCAGTAGTTGATACGCCGGCAATATCAGCATTGCCCGTGGCAGACTCTTCTTTATGGAACGGAATAGCCATTACACCGGCCATATCAGCAGGTGCTGCATAGCGCACAGTGTGACTCCTATTGAGTTCTAAGAATGTGTTAATTAGTCTAACACCTTACCTTTTTGTTGTGCTTCCTCATGATGGGGTCAAAAATGTAAAAGCCCATTTGTGAGCATTACTTCTTGGGTGTGGCACTGAATTTTATTTTTTTTTTACTTTTTACACGAGAGAGAGGGAAACTTCTGTTTTTTATCCATCTCTGGAAAGGAATGATTATGTAAATGACTGCCATGCTATTGTAGCGGTGTTTGATAGTATCATTTAGTGTTTAAAACTAAATAATGTAAATACTTAATGAATTAAATTCATTTAGTAATTTAAAACTCATATCACTTAATATTTTAAATATTTTTAAAAATAGACTATAATTTTGAGTAACAAGTCATTTACTTATTACTTAATATTGAAAATGTTAATTTTATAAATTTTTATAATGAACAAATATATTACTGCATTTTATAGGCTCAATTTTTCAATACCCACCATCCACCATCACTACCATTGTGTTTTTGCCACCATTACCACTGTCTTAACCATTGTGTCGGAACCACCACCACCACTACTGTCACTACCATTGTGCCAAAACCACCATCACCACTAATGTGTTGGAGTTGTCGCTATCATCATTGTGTCGTCCCACCATCACCACCACTGCCACCATCACCATTGTACCGCCATCACCACCACCACCACCACCATTGCGCCGCCGTCATCACAATGGTAGTGGTAGCAATAAAAGTAGTTGCGGTGAGATGGTTAAAAAGAAAGACAAAATTACAATAATAATAACTTACATACTTCAACTCCTTATTTTTGTCAAACAATTTGATTTAATTCAATACTTAAATTTTAGTGAATACAAAACAGTCTGCGAATTAAAAAATTCAATATTTAACACTTAAAAATTCAACATTTAGTTTTCAATATTCAACTTATAGTTTTATCAAACACCACTCTATTATTGATTTAGCCATAATTTCATTCTATTACAACTATTAGTAATTTAGCTATAATTTTCGGTATTGACTTTTCGCTGGTTGTCCCATTGTAACCCAAGTATCACACGAAGTCAATGAAACAACCTTTCTGCACACGGGGTAAGGTTATCAACATCTTATCGTTTGTAGACTCCATAGTGGCGGAAGCATGTATGGACTATCATTTTTTTCTTAAAAGTTTTTCATCAGCTTCATTATAAAAACAGAAAGCATTGTTATTTGAATAAATTGAGTAGAAAAATTCTGATGGATCTCACTGTGCTTCGAGGTTGTGAGATCAAACCCCAGCCAAAAAAAAAAAAAAAAAAGACATCAAGAACCCCAATTTTCCTTGCCCCTAGTTGAAGTTCCCCTTAATGAGATTCTGCAACTTTAAAACGTAGAAAAAAGAGGAAAATTTATCGGCCACATTGCTTTGTCTCAGCAGATTAGGATTTTGTTCCTAACAGCCACAAATAGTAGAATATGGTGCTGGTTGTATCTTAGGTTGTGATCTCGTCCAAAGGATACTGATGGGACTCTTCTGAAAAGCCCTAAGATGATGACACGTGTCCTCGGGATATTTTGGAACAGTGTTGCCCGGATGTAAGCACCATCGGCGAAGAGCGCCCTTTACCCCGAGGTACCTCTCATGTAGGATCACACATTCGGTATATTATACAAACAAACACGTGTCCTCGGTCAGACGTGTACCTCGGGGACACACCACCCTTGGTCCCGAGGTGAGCCTTTCCTCGGCGCCGAGGGTCACTCCATCCTGGACGCTTCCTCTACTCCCGGATAAAGCTACTGACATACTGGACATCAGCCTATGCCAGTATGGGTTATTCATCATGACCTCTTCTTACACAAGTAATGTCAGAACGTGCTGGAATACCGACGTAACGGCCAATAAGGGATGGACGCGTGGCAAATAATGTCACATCCGAAGCAGACAAACCGCGTGCCGTTGCTGACACGCGACTTGGGAAAGCAAACAATTAATTGCACCCTTCTGTTGACGAGACCGCATTCAATGCGGTAAGGTTCGGATATGAAAGGCAATAAATGCTCCTATTACAGAGCATTTATTGCATCCTTCCCGACAGGAGCATATTGTACCGTCGGCGTCCCGACAGACTCAGCATTGATTGTTCGGGACCCCGAGCAATCAATTAGAGAAGACATTCCTCATCAAATGATTACACACGCTACCTGTGCCTGATGATTACCTACTGACCACACTGACAGCAATCATGATCTTCTAAGGTATAAATACCCCTCCCAAAAAACAAAGCGGGTATGCAATCACAAACTCTTTACTACGAAATATCATTCTCAGTGTTTTCTCCTTCCTCTCTCTCATTCAAAGACTGACTAGACCGTCGGAGGGGATACGCCGGAAAACACTCCGGCGCCCTTCTAACCTGTTCTCTTTTGTTTCAGGAAATATCTTTCGCACGTACAGGATCGTTCCTCCTTTCCCAGGATCGTAAGCTGTTTCGAGCAGTGTGCTTGGCCACTCAACCGGCTCACCCAAAGTTCACCAGGGGAGAGATCTGTTCCCAATATTATATATATATCGTGCAGGATCAAGCCCGCACAATCTGGCGCCGTCTGTGGGAAAAGAGTAGTTTTCCTAATCTTTTCTCTATAAAAGAACAGTGACCATGGTGAACACCAGACAGAAAGGGAAAGGACCCCACCAACGGAGTCATGAGTTGCAAGCTCCCTGCCATCACGGAGGGAGGGATCGCACCAGTACGATTAAAAGTGCCTCTACTCGGTCAAGGGGGGTAACCCCTCAAACCAGTATGGGTATCAGGTCAGGAGGATCAGCCCCCTTGGCCCGTCAGCTGGCAGAGGTGATTGAAGAGAAATTTGGCGATAGATTACGTCAGCTGGAGAAGGACAATGTAAACGTCCTTAGCCGGCTCGACGAGTTTGCTGCCTCAGGCGGAGGGTCGAGGGATTCATTCCTCTCCCGAGGACTCCCCGTCCATGAGGCGGAGACAAAAGATCTAAGGAACCACCTGGATCACAAAGCAGAAAGCTCCAGGGCCCCGAAGCGACCCAAGGCCGGCGAATGCCATCTTGACAACCATTCCAGGAAAGCAAGGCCGTTGGCCCTGGACGACCTCCGGCGAGGTTTATCCAGACGGAGGAAGGGAGATGAATCCGAGGAGGACTCAACCCAATCTACACGACGCCCAGGAAACGAGGGGCTTACCGACGAACCCAGAGACTTCAGGAGGCATCCCGCAAGGGAAGAAGATCTCAGAGCCCGATTAGACTCCAGGAGAAAGGGCAAGATGATCCAGGACGAGGCCGATGAAAGTCATGCAAACACCCTTCACGAGGGAAATCAGCGAGATGGACGTCTCAAGAAAGTTCGTCGTGCCACGATTCAAGACCTATGACGGGCGATCTGATCCCGACGCCCATATCAGACAGTATAAGCAGATGATGTCCCTCTATCATTCGGACCAACGGTTTCTATGCCGGGTATTCCCTATGAGCTTGGGGGACTCCGCGATGAGGTGGTTCGAGGCGCTTCCCCCAAACAGTATTGGGTCCTGGAAAGAATTGACAAGGCAGTTCCTAACCCGATTCATTACAGGGAGTAAGCGCCCAAAGGACATTGGATCACTGCTGACCCTCAGGAGGAGGGAATCCGAGACTCTTCGCCAGTACGCCATCCGATACTGGGAAGAAGTCAATGAGGTCGAGGGATGCTCGGAGGTCATGGCAGCAGCATCATTCCGGCTCGGCTTGGCCAGGGACACGGACCTGTACCGATCCCTGACCAAAAAGACTCCCTCGGATATGGGGGAACTGATGGCCCGAATCAACAAGTACTCAAGGGTCGAGGACGAGATGGGGGGCAACAAAGGCCGAGCCCTCCAACCCAAGAGAAAGGAAAAAGAGCACGAAGATATTCCCCGGAAGGGATTGCTACCCCGTCCAGGGGGTTCGTCCAGAGGAGTTCACACCGTCTTCAAGGAACCCATCTACAGGTTGCTCCATAAAATCAAACATGAACCGTTTTTCAAATGGCCGCCCAGGATGCAAAGCGACCTCTCCACCCGTGATCAAACAGTAAGATGCTCATATCACCGGGATGTCGGGCATCGCACCGAGAGCTGCAGGGTGTTCAAGTCATTCTTGGAGAACTTAGTCCGAGATGGATATCTGAAAGAATACATAGAGCCCAGGCCAGAAGAGAAACGAGCTCATGCCCCGACCGAGGAACCAAACAACGTCATAGACGTCATCCATGTGTGTCCACTGGAGCGCCCCACGTCCAAAGAGCTCGAATCCGACCTCAAGAGGGTAGCTTTTACCAGAAAGGTAGCCGAAGGAGGTGTGGGGCCATCAAGCAAAAGGGCCAGGATGGGTGAGCTTGGCATTATGTTCTCTGACGCGGATTTGACGGGCGTGGTGATTCCTCATAACGACGCCCTTGTCTTAACCCTGAAGATAGGGAAATTCGATGTCAAGAGAATCTTGATTGATTCAGGGAGTTCCTCGGAGGTGATGTACTTCGAGACTTTGAAGCGGATGGGTTTTGGCCCCCAAGACTTGACCAAAATCAGGACACCCCTCATCGGGTTCAACGGCTCTTTCGCCTTGCCCGTGGGGAAAATTACATTACCGGTCGCCACTGGTCCCTTCGTCATCGACACAGAGTTTGTGGTGATCGACACGGACTCCCCTTACAACGTGATTATGGGTCGAACATGGCTACACGCTTTGGGAGCGGTACACTCCACTCTCCACCAAAAGTTGAAGTTCGCCACGCCAGAGGGCGTCATGGAGATCCGGGGAGATCAAGCGTCTGCGAAGAACTGTTTTTATTCGGCCGTCCGAGCCGGGGCGTCCGGCCAGGAGAAGGGGCGAGCACCGGAAGAGATCATAGAAAAATAGCAATTACAGTCCGGGCGTCCGGGGATGGATGACCCCCGGGTAGACCCAGCGGAACGGTCGGTTGAAGACCTCCGGAAGGTGCCCTTGGTAGAAGGAGAGGAAGAGAAGTATTTCCTAGTTGGGACCTCGATGCCCGCAGCCGAACAGGAGGAGATGATCAGGTTCTTAAGAGGGAATACAGACGTGTTCGCCTGGAACGAAATGGAAATGACAGGAGTAGACCCCGAAATAATTACTCACAGGCTGCATGTTGACCCATCTCACAAGCCAGTAAAGCAAAGGCCACGACGTATGGCCCCGCATCACACCAACGCGGTCAATGAGGAAA